TTCTTTGGTTATAACCGTCTACAAAGGAAGGTAAAGATTACACAGGCACTGACTGCAGCTTCACAGTTAACATTATAATTGAGTTTTCATTATACACCTTCTCTAACACAGAAAAGAGATTTGTTATTACTGTAAAGGACTAAATATCCTCCCCCAATAGTTGTACATAAATTCATGAAATATTTAAATTATACCTTAAAAGGAGACCTTTTTGAAATTTTTAAGACAACTCATGTTTTTTCAGCCACATCTAACTTGAAAATGGCAAGTTTATGAATCCAGAACTGGTACATACTGTATGCACAACAACACTTATGCAGAGTTCTTTTGCCCCGGGGGGGGGGGGGGGAAGAGAGATGGGTAAATTAAACAAAGAGATTGTTTCTATTTTTCATTACTAATGACTAACACCTTCTCATAGAAGCCACCACTTAACATTTTAACAGTTGAAAGTCACATTTAAAATATATTTCCTTCCAGAAAGCTGCTACAAGGAACAACTTCTATGTGAACTGACAACTAAACACTACACTTTGTTACAAAACAATGGAACATACCGAATGGTCTCTGCTCTCTATTCGCCCCACTCTATCACTTCTGTACTAAGAAGAAACTAAGTTAATCATTAATCACATTAATTATTGCGGGGCCTCAGGACCAATCAAGAATTGGTCCTCTTTGTGCTAGACTCTGTACAAACACTGAGTAGCAGATGGTCCCTGCCCCAAAGTTCTAAAAACTAAATAGACACGAGACACAGACTGGGCAGAGGTGGGGGTGAGGAAGGGATATCACACAGAAGCAGAGTGAACAATATGATAATGGAAAACGTCATTTTAGTGTCAGGATTTTTTGGCTACAGTCCTCTTTCCACACTACCTAACTGGTTGCTCCTCAAGCACAGTTACAAAATTTACGGCTTGTCTACAAACAAAGAGCATTGGTTTAATTAAAAGGTTTTAAAATGTAGTTTAAGCCAGTGAAAAGGCTTTATGGATACTTCTTTTGCTTTAAGAATGGCTAACTTCGGGTTAGATTAAACCTGTTCTAATTGACCTAAACTAAACCAAAATAAGAGCATCTACACAGGGGTTTGTACCAGTTTAAGACCATACCTTTAGTTAAATCAGTGTAATTCTGTATTTAGACAAGCCCTTGGAAGTTCAGAAGATGATCCATAAAGTGCTTAAGAACAGTGCCAGTCTATGGCGAGTTATCATGCACCATAGGACTACAGTTGCTGGCAAGAAGCATCGATGTAGGACCTTCCACTTACTTTTGGAGAGAAAAGTCTGTGCCAGCTGGAAGAGAAGACTAGACATCCTTCATTTTCTGGCACACAAGTAATTATACAACGAAGACTGTTCATTCCTTACAGCAGAGATCGGCAACCTTTGGCACGCGGCCCACCGGGCCAGTTTGTTTACCTGCCACATCCGCAGGTTCGGCCAATCACAGCTCCGACTGGCCGCGGTACACCGCTCCAGGCCAATGGGGGCTGTGGGAAGCGGTGGCCAGCACATCCCTCGGCACGCACCTCTTACCGCAGCCTTCATTGGCCTGGAGCGGCGAAACGCGGCCAGCTGAACCCGCAGACGCGGCAGGTAAGTAAACCGGCCCAGCCCGCCAGGGGGCTTATGCTGGCGAACCACATGCCAAAGGTTGCTGATCCCTGCCTTACAGCATAATGCCCATGTCTTTATGCACAGAAGGTAGATCACCACATTATTTTAGGCACATAAAATTTCTATGATTAAAAGATTTCGGTGCACCAAGACTTATATACAGAATGCTTTAAACAAAAAATTTCATGAACAGCATGGTACGCAGTCCAACCTGTTACATCTCCTTTTCCTAGCTTCAGCTAAATCTGCAGATTGCAGTCCACCAATTTATACTGAGAACTGGAATGTTTCAGAGCACTGAATTTGGCTCCATACGAGTCAGAAGCACCACACAGACTGGGCTCACTAATAAGCAATGCAGACAAAGATTAGCTGAAAATAAGTCTGCAGAGAGGGGACCAAGGGCCAGACTTTTTAAAAGGATTTAGGTGCCTAGTAGGATTTCCAAAAGCACTTTAAAAGCTTTTGGAAATGTCCCTAGGCAGATAAAGAGGCAGATAGGTGCTGGCGTACTTTTAAAAATTTGGTCCTAGATAACTACAGTAGGACAAGAACTGTGACTCCTCACCACATAAAGCTTTATGGGAAATAGTCCAGTGTTTGCAGGACAGACTGTGTACATATTTAAGTCCCACAGCAGCTTAATTTATGTACTCTCTCTGTTGTACAGAGTATAAGTCTCTCCTTTGCTCATATTGCAATATTTCTTCATAAAAGTTTATTTTAAGATGATATAAAGTTATATTTTCTCAGAGTAAAGCAGAATCAGACTCAGGATCTGGAGAAAACTCTACAAACATTTCCAGTTAAAAAGATTTTAAAATAACCAAAATTTTAAAGAGAAGTAAATTGTCGAATATTTCTGTGTATTCCTGAATATTGAAAAGAGAATCAAGTTATAATTCAATGTATTGAAGTTTCTATCGTACCTTCTGCATTATAGAAAAATAAACATTTGTCATTCTTATATAATGTGAATGTTTGTCACTGGAGTGAGTGAAAAAAGTATGAGTACAGACAAATTTTTAAATTACAACTTAAAACAAAAAAAATTGAAGAAGTTGAAATTTGCAAAGTGTAACAGGTCATCAAACAGGCTGATAAATGACAATTACTTGCACAATAACCAAGTCTGTATATGTTTTGTTGGCCAAAAACCAACCAAGCAAGAATATACATTTCAACAAGAAGGCACAGGGGAATGAAAGGAGACAAAGATCTTAGCTCTTAACTCTCTAGGGCACTGAAGGAACTGTGGGCCAGGTAGAACTGTAAACTCACAAGGCCCTTTGCTACATCCACGCTCCAAGACACACTGAATTCCAAAGAAGTTACTGTAATATCAATGCTCCACATGCACACTACATTCACTTTTCATTGGGAGTATTATTTCTGTGGACTTTTTGAGATCTGCAATAGGTCCAGTAGACTTTACAACAACATGAAACATTCTGTTCAAAGAAGAAGTTCAAGATTGCCATCTAATATTAGAGTATGAAAACACAGTTATACAAAGGTAAGTTACAGTCCTAAAAAGCTAAGTATTTAGAAGTATGCAAGTTAAGGGACAATAGAAAAATACCCCAAAAGCCAGGCTTAATTTTTAGACAGGACAGCGTGGGAAAGCAAAATCTCTTTGCCAGCAGAGTGCTTTCAGAGAACTTGAAGATCAGGCTCATGGACTTAGTAAACACAGAAAGTGTACAACAACTGGCAGTAAAAGATGAAGCTGAGTTTGTCGAAGGAGACATTTGTCTAGGGAATGTCAGGAGAGAGTGGGTTTTGGGATGCTAAAGGGACAGAAAGATTAGCCAGCTAGGAGAATAAATTGGAGGCTTCCACAACACATAGGGGTGGATTCAGGCTTCAAAGTTTTAACATACAGTAAAGTACAGGAAACACAGAGTAGAAGAACAGAGTAGGCAGGTCCCAAAACAAACTCCGTGGACAACTTAATTTACATGGCTTGGTGTGAATGTGGCCTGTTGATTTACTGTACAGGCTGGGTAGACAGTTGTGCTCTCGGTCAGCAGTTCTCAAACTAGGGTCCAGGAACCCCAGGGGTCCTTAGAAACTGCACATGGGGTCTGCAAAATGTCAACCATCAAGCCAAGGATAGACAGATTCTCCAATAAGAAGCAGGTACACCCACCTCACTGACATCTGTAAATGCTCTTATACTTTTTTCTTAAAGCATTACTAACAGTACGTGTATATGAAGTACACATATACCTTTGTCAATCAGTTTCTCAGTCGTAGGTCCGTGATTAACATTGCATTTGAAAAGGGGTCCATCCACAAAAAAAAGTTTGAGAACCTCTGCTCTAGGTAACCAAACTTTGGGCTGGAAGTGGCAATTTCTGGGCTCTATCCCTTACTCTGCCAGTGACTTGCTGTGTGCCTTTGGGCAAGTCACTAAAACTACTCTGTGCCTCTGTTTCCCCACTATGAAGCAGGAACCTCCCACTTACCTATCTTCATCAAGAGCTTCAAGATCAAAAGAAAAAAAGAGAGACTAACCCCCAGAGCAATACTGTTAGGCTAAAGCCAACCCCCAGGATCCAGACAGGCCATCCCGGAGGGAAGGCCACACACACTGCTCAGTGGCCTTCGTCCCAGGCGGTGAGGGAGAGGGGAGAAGTCTTCTGCCCCCAGCTGGCAGCAGTGCCTGTCCCACCGGCAAGGGAAGATCTCTGTGGGGCCAGGCAGGCCAGGGTACAGTCACAGCCATTCCCTGGGGCGGGAGGTGCAGTCAGTCCGCCCGCCCGCCCCATAGCGTGGGCAGGGCAGGCTGTCTCCTGTCCATGGGGCTGGAAGTGCTTTGTGGGGCTGGCGGGAGCCGGCCTGTCTATGCGGCCCCATGGGGCAGGCAGGAGAGTCACGTCAGTCTGTCTGTCTGTCTGCTCACCCAAGGGGTCGGCAGGGGGGTGTCAGCCTGCACCGCGGACTGGGGGAGGGGAGCGGGCAGTAGTGAGCCCCACGGGGGGGTACTGGAGTCCGGCTGTCAGAGCAGGGAGCTGTGCGTCTGAGCGGGACTCGGTCCGTCCGCGGGGGTCAGTGGCCGGCCCGGCCGAGCCGCACTTACCAGCGCAGGCAGCTCCTCCAGGGCCCGCACAGGCCTCACCCAGCGCCGGGCAGCAACGGCCGCAACATGGCGGCGGCGGGGCGGGGCCGGGCCTGGGAAGACCTGCCCCGCTCCGCCCCTTTGGCCCCGACTCCGCTCCCTGCCGCGCCCCCAGGGACCGCCCCGCTCGCGGCTCTCTGCTTTGCCCCGCCTCCCCCCGGAAACCGCCCCGCCCCCGCTCCCTGCCGCGCCCCCAGGGACCGCCCCGCTCGGCCGCCTGCGACGCGGTGCCCGTTCCCGCCCCGCCCACCCCTGTGCGCGCCGCCCAGGCCCAGCTCTCGCTGCGCTCCTCGGCGCGCTCCCGCTGCTGCGCAGCCCTGGAGCCCTGTCCTCCGCGCCCACCTCTCGCGCGCGCCCGGGCCCCGCCGCCCGCGCTCGAGCCGCTCCGGGGCGTTACACGGGCCGTGAGAGGCCCAGGCTGAGGCCCGGGTGCGGAGATTCACACCATCATTCCGCGGGCGCGCTTGCTGCCACGGGCGGTCCCGCGCCAAAGGGGCGCCCGGCGAGCTGGGCTTGGGCCTGGGGGCGAGTCCCGGAGCACCGCTCCCTCGTGCTGGGGTAACGGCTCCGGCGTTAGGAGCGGGGCGCTCGCTGGTCGCGGGGCTGGGCTGGGAAACCTGTGTGCCCTGCCCCGGCCCGCGCTGCTGTGGCACGGAGCCTGGTGCTGTGTGTGCGCTGGCCGAGCGCTGAGCGGGCCTCGAGAGCCGTTCCCGGGGCTAGGTGCCTGGCTGAGAAAGCCGAGAGGAGGTAAGGCACAGGTGGTTTGTGTACCTCCTCCTCCCCCCAGCTGGCGGTCACCCCGGGCGGGGAAAACCACAGGGCCTTGTCTCCAGCAGCCTGTCACAAGAGAACTACTCAGCTGTGCGGCCTCCCTGGAAATACACACCTTTGTGGCACTGAAGACAGCGCCTCAGTCTTCAGCGGGGAACAATAGGCACAATCCCCCAGTCAGTCAACACCATTGCTGGGTATATTTGTACCCTGAAGACGGGTTGAATATAGGACCCTGAGACTGCAGTTCAGGCGAGGGGTGGGTGCTTTTGCTGGAGCTCTTGAAGGCACTGTGGTGACATAATGAGGTGCCAGCCTCAGAGGGTGCAGACCTTCATATTACGATCATCCTTCTTTTTTTCTTGTGTGCTTTAAAAATGACCTGCAACACTGTTGAATCTTTCTCGCAGCCTTCGCTTGTTATTAGCAGGTAGGTTTTTAAGACCTCCTAATAATTAAAACAGCAAAAAAACAACCTTCTGTCTTTTATTTCTCTTTGTAATTTGCCTTTTGGATGCACCCTGTCCCATCAGCAACTCATGTAATTTCTGTGAAATAGTGACATCACAAATCTGAGTTCCTGCTAGTGTGAATTTTGTGCCCTCTTATGTTTTCTGGACCAGGACACAACAATGTAGCAATGTATAGGTGTGATAGGTTTCCCTGGGGTGCCATTTTGAACTGGGGTACTACTGAGGCCGCCTGACCCATGAGCCTGGGCTCCCTTTAACTGTACTGCTGTGACAAGCTGCAGACCTGCTTCTGATCTCTCACTTTCACCAGCCTACATAAGGGTAGGGACACACCCAGCTGTAGTAACAGGCTTTCTGACTAGCCCCCTGCATGGGAAGGCTTCAGCTAAGGAAGTGCTCAGATACTCAAGTGCACACCCCCCTCTGGAGTGAAAATCCAATATAGTATTGTCTTGTGCTGCACAGAGAACTATACAGCATATGTGATGTTGCACTCCATATCTTTATGGAAATATGCTTATGAGTGTAAATATAATATAACTGGAATATGCTTTATGCAAAAGGTCTCTTGTAAGGTATCATTGCAAAGCTTATCTACTGAGTGTGTTCATCCTATTTATATGAATGTATCATTCTTGTATCTGAAGCTAGAAATATGAAGTATTACTCTGAAGTCCTATTGTAACTATGCAAAGTGTGGGCCATTAATGATGGCTTGGAATCTTGATGGCTTCCATTAACTAGTACAATTGGTTGTAAATGGCTCCTTTTCTTTTTGGGAATACAGACTAACACGGCTGCTACTCTGAAATCTGTTTACTTGTAAGCCTTCCTGTATACCTGGGTGCTAGCCAGTGAGTAATGAAGTCTCACAGGACATGTGAACATGTCACATGATACTGGAATCCATCTTAAACCTGGTGCTTTTCCATTTAGAAGGAAGGGTGGGAACCCAGAGAGAGAGAGACAAAGGATTCTCGCCTTGTGCCAAAGATATAAAAGGGGGTGGAACAGAACAAAGGGGGCTGCCAGTCAAGGGTCGGTCCTGGGGCCGGTTTTGTTCAATATCTTCATAAATGATCTGGAGGATGGTGTGGATTGCACTCTCAGCAAATTTGCGGATGATACTAAACTGGGAGGAGTGGTAGATACGCTGGAGGGGAGGGATAGGATACAGAAGGACCTAGACAAATTGAAGGATTGGGCCAAAAGAAATCTGATGCGGTTCAATAAGGATAAGTGCAGGGTCCTGCACTTAGGACGGAAGAACCCAATGCACAGCTACAGACTAGGGACCGAATGGCTAGGCAGCAGTTCTGCGGAAAAGGACCTAGGGGTGACAGTGGACGAGAAGCTGGATATGAGTCAGCAGTGTGCCCTTGTTGCCAAGAAGGCCAATGGCATTTTGGGATGTATAAGTAGGGGCATAGCGAGCAGATCGAGGGACGTGATCGTTCCCCTCTATTCGACATTGGTGAGGCCTCATCTGGAGTACTGTGTCCAGTTTTGGGCCCCACACTTCAAGAAGGATGTGGATAAATTGGAGAGAGTCCAGCGAAGGGATTTAACTGGGATTTGGTCCTGCTTCGAGCAGGGGGTTGGACTAGATGACCTCCTGGGGTCCCTTCCAACCCTTATATTCTATGATTCTATGATTCATGGAAATCCCCTAGTTACTACCTGAGCTGGAACTAACAAGAACAGGGGAAAGGATTGGGCCCAGACTAAGAAGGAGTCTAGTCTGTGAAAGAAGCTTATTGGAACATCTGAGGGTGAGATTTACCTGTATTCAGTTTCTTAAATGTATTAGGCTTAGACTTGTGTGTTTTGTTTTATTTTGCTTGGTAACGTACTTTGTTCTGTTTGTTTTTACTTGAAACAACTTAAATCCTACTTTTTATACTTTGTACAATCACTTTTGTTTATTAATTAACCCAGAGTAAGTGATTAATACCTGGTGGAGCAAACAGCTGTGCATATCTCTGTGATGGGTTGGATCACAGAAACCCCTTGGGAGCTGCCACCTGATGTGCCAAGACTACTTCTGCCCCCGCTTTCCCTGCCAACTTAGGACTCCAGCACCCTGTCTTGCTAAGCCAGACACACCAGTCTGTTCCCAACACAGATCCAGGGTCTGAACCACGTACCCCAAAGCTACAGACTTAACTGAAAGCAAGTTAAAAAGTGTTCGTGCCTTTAACACTCAGATGCCCAACTCCCAATGGGGTCCAAAGCCTAAATAAATATGTTTTACCCTGTATAAAGCTTATACAGGGTAAAGTCATAAATTGTTCGCCCTCTCTGACACTGATAGATATGCACAGCTGTTTGCCCTCCCCGCCCCCAAGTATTAATACATACTCTGGGTTAATTAATAAGTAAAAAGTGATTTTATTAAATACAGAAAGTAGGATTTCATAGAATCATAGAATATCAGGGTTGAAAGGGAACTCAGGAGGTCATCTAGTCCAACCCCCTGCTCAAAGCAAGCCCAATCCCCAACTAAATCATCCCAGCCAGGGCTTTGTCAAGCCTGACCTTAAAAACCTCAAACGAAGGAGATTCCACCACCTCCCTAGGTAACGCATTCCAGTGCTTCACCACCCTCTTAGTGAAAAAGTTTTTCCTAATATCCAATCTAAACCTCCCCCACTGCAACTTGAGACCATTACTCCTTATTCTGTCATCTACTACCACTGAGAACAGTCTAGATCCATCCTCTTTGGAACCCCCTTTCAGGTAGTTGAAAGCAGCTATCAAATCCCCCCTCATTCTTCTCTTCCACAGACTAAACAATCCCAGTTCCTTCAGCCTCTCCTCATAAGTCATGTGTTCCAGTCCCCTAATCATTTTTGTTGCCCTCCGCTGAACGCTTTCCAATTTTTCCACATCCTTCTTGTAGTGTGGGGCCCAACACTAGACACAGTACTCCGGATGAGGCCTCACCAATGTCAAATAGAGGGGAACGATCACGTCCCTCGATCTGCTGGCAGTGCCCCTACTTATATAGCCCAAAATGCTGTTAGCCTTCTTGGCAACTGTTGACTCATATCCAAAGCAGATTTAATTGGTTCCAAGTAGTAACAGACAGAACAAACAATTACCAAGCAAAATAAAATAAAACGTGCAAGTTTATGTCTAGTACAGTAATAAAACTGAATACAGATAAAAACCTCACCAGTTCCAGCAAGCTTTCTTTTACAGACTAGTCTCCTTCTAGTCTGGGTCCAGCAATCACTGACACCCCCTGTAGTTACTGTCCTTTGTTCCAGTTTTTTTCAGGTATCTTTGGGGGTGGAGAGGCTCTCTCTTTAGCCAGCTGAAGATAAAATGGAGGGGTTTAAATAGGCTCTCTCTTGTGGGTGGAGACCCCCTCCTCTCTCCTATGCAAAGTCTAGCTACAAAATGGAGTGTTGGAGTCACCTGGGCAAGTCACATGTCCATGAATGACTGAGTTCCTTACCAGCCAAGCCACATCCCTGGGAAAGCCCAGATGTGGATTGGCGTCTCCAAGTTCATTGTTGGCTTAAGGGCTTCTTGATTGGGCGCTTACTGGGAATAGTCTTTTCTCAGGAAGCTGACCAACTGCTTCACTAAAACCTACTCAGAATCAAACAAATATGCAGCCAATATTCATAACTTCAAATACAAAAATGATACTTGCATACAAATAGGAGTAATAGATTCAGTAGATCATAACCTTTACAGGGATATGTTACATGGCATATGTAGCATAAAACACATTCCAGTTATGTCATATATACATTCATAAGTATATTTCCATAAAGCCTTATGGGGGGCACCATCACAATCTCTTTATGAGTGTTATGGAGGGTGGACAATTTACGAGTTTACCCTGTATAAGCTTTATGCAGAGTAAAACTGATTTATTTGGATCCCATTGAGAGCTGGGTGACTGGGTGCTGGAGATAGGTGACTTGCTGAGCAGTTTTTGGTTAAAGTCTTCAATTTTCGGGGCATGGACCAGACCTGGGTCTGTGTTGCAGCAGACTAGCATGTCTGGCTCAACAAGGCAGGGTTCTGGATTCCCAAGTTGGCAGTGGAAAACGGGCTCAGAGGTAATTCCAGTACATTAGGTGACAGCCTCAAGGGGGGTCTCTGTGACTGAACCCGTCACAGCGTAAGCTCATTGAAATTCACCCCCTCCCTCAGTGTGGAGGAAGATATGCACAGCTTTTTGCCCCCCCCATCCCCATTATGAATTCCACAGACTGGTTTTAGAGACAACAAATACAAGTTTATTCGCTACAAAAGATAGATTTTAAGTGATTATAAGAGTTAGCAAACAGATCAAAGCAGATTACCATAGGAAATAAACAAAACCACAAACTAAGCTTAAGATACTAACAAAACTGGTTACAAGTAACAAATTCTCACCCTAAATGTTGTTTTAGGCAGATTGTAGAGTTTCTTGAAGGCAAGCTGCTCTTGCTTACAGCTTAAAACTCCATGTATTTCTTTCACAGGCCCCACCCCCTCTAGCCTGGGTTCAATCCTTCCCCCCCCAACTCTTTGTCTTTGTTTCTTATGTTTTCAGCAGTCATCCTGGGTGGGGATTCAGTGAAGAAGGAATCCTGATTATGGCACTCCTCTGCCTTAAATAGGTTTTTCGTATGGCCGGAATCTTTTGTTTTCCAGTATGTCGTTCCCCGCTGCCACCAGTGGAAAAATACTGGTATTCTATCATGGAATCCAGGACCAGATGACTTGATCACATGACCCTGCAGTGTCAAAGGAGCCATGAGGCAGAGGCTGTTTGTAACATCCCAGGAAAGCTTCTCAGGAAAGTGGGAGATTAGTATCTTCAAAGACCTATTGTTCTCCCTAATGGTCCATTGACTTGTTTCCAGCTAGCCAGCCAGACTGATTGCATTCTGTCTGGTGGGTGTTTCCTAGGTGCAAACACTTTTGTAGTATAGATATATAGTCAATATTCCTAACTTCAGATACAAAAAAGATACATGCATAAAAATAGGATAATCATAGTCAGTAAATCATACCCTTTCGAATGATACCTCACATGATCTATCTTGCATAAAATACATGATAATTATGACATAATCATATAATATTACTATGAAAATATGGGAAGCAGTGTCACAATAGGTAAAGTGATAGAGGGGAGAATGCTGTTTGTTTCTGCTTGGCATGCAGATAGCAGTGATGTTGGCAGGGCAGAATAATTTTTTAGAGAAAGGCAGAGCTAATATTTTTCATAAAAATAAAACAGGGATTTTGACAAAAAAGCAGAAATTGATCTTCACGAACCATGGGCACCTGCAACGGTTTGTCCAGTGGTGAGAGCACCACACAGGGTGAGATCCACACGCTGTTCCTTCTCTCCCACAAACAGCCTGTGTCACCTTGGGCAAGTCACTCAGGGCTAAATCAACAGAAGTACTTCAGTGTTCATTGGTGCAGGGACTTAAGTTTCTTATATCCCAGCTGAGTACCCTAATCACTGGGCAGTAGTTAGTCTCTCTCTCTCTCTGGCCCACTGAATATTTTTTTATACAAAGTATAAAGCTTCAACAGGAGAGATTGAGAGAGCCTAACCCAGAATACCCCAAAAGCATACTGGTGGGGGCACTCCCCTGGGATATAGGAAACCTGGGTTCAGACCCATTCTTCCAATCAGGCAGAGCGGAGATTTGAACTTGTGTCTGCTAAAGCCTAAGTAAGTGCACGAGGCGCACACATATACCCACCCTGAAAATTCATGACCTGCTTCCCCATGGCTGCCTTGTGTTTTAAACATGGTCTGAGAATGCCTATGGGATCAGACTCCACTGGCAAGATAGGTGGAGGGAATGCCTAGTTTGAGGGGGCCACCAGCCCTTTATTGAGGGCTTCAAGAGCTTGTTAGTTATCTGGCAGTGTTAGCATTTAGGTGGCTTTGCACACATGTACTGGTGGAAAAATAGGCACCTACAGCCACTGAGTGGTGGTTTTGAGAATGTCAGTGGCACCTAAATGTTTGACTTAGGCACATAAGTAACTTCGTGGATCTAGCCTTTCATCTCTCTGTGCCTCAGTTCCCCCTCAGTAAATGGGTATAACAGTATTTCCCTATCTCACAAACATGTTCTTGGGATAAATACATTAAAGATTGTGAGATGCTCAAATACTGTGGCGATGGGGGCCAAATAAGTACCAAAACTAGATAGAGTCCCAAGCTGAAAAAGTGAACAAACGCAAAAGCTTTGCAGATCACCTTGAGAGTATGTCTTCACTGAAGTTAACTTGTGTGATTGACACTTGGGTTAGCCTAGCCCAGATGTAAGCAGATAGGCTGCAGAGCCCTTCCCGGATGACTGTGTTCTGACAAGTGTTGCATTCTCCAGGTGTGTGTCGCTAGGACTTACGGGGGCATAGCCTATGGTTTTTTGTGGTGCAGTAAACTGAGCTGCTCTATAATTCTTTTGCAGTGAATTGTGAGAGAACTTGTCTGTCCTTCTGGGCAAATGGGGGAGAGGGAATCATGAGACACTGGAACACTATCAGTACCTGAGTGATGTGGCCTCCTCCAAAATGGGTGGGTTAGCCAGCCAACTGAAAGCAGCATCCAGACTTTAGCCTACAGCCCCACACAAGACAGATGGCTGGAGCTGATAACATCACTAAATTGGGGTCACAGTTTTCATAGAATGTGAGTCCAGAAGGGACCATTAGATCATCTAGTCTGAACTACTGTATAACACAGGCCATTAAATTTCACCCAGTTACCCTTGTGTTGAGCCTAATAACTATAGTTAGACCAAAACATTTTAGTCCTTAAGAACATTGGTCAGACCAATGATCCATCTAGCCCAATATCCTGTCTTCCAACAGTGGCCAACACCTGGTGCTTCAGAGGGAACAAACAGAACAGATAATCATCGGGTGGTCCATCCCCCGCCATCCACTCCCAGCTTCTGGCAGTCAGAGACTAGGGACACCCAGAGCATGGTTTTACATCCCTGACCATCTTGGCTAATAGCTAGGACCCTACCAAATGCATGGCCCATTTTGGTCAATTTCACAGTCAGAGGATTTTGAACATCGTAAATGTTATGATTTAAGCTATTTAAATATGAAATTTCACAGTGTTGTAATCGTAGGGGTCCTGACCCAAAAAGAAGTTGTGGGCGTGGTTTCACGGTTGTGGTACTGCTACCCTTACTTCTGCGCTGCTGCTCGTGGTGACGGTGCTTTCAGAGCTGGGCAGCTGGAGAGCAGTGGTTGCTGGCTGGTAGCCCAACTCTGAAGGCAGAGCTGCTGCCAGCAGCAGCACAGAAGTAAAGATGGCATGGTATGGTATTGCCACCCTTCCTTCTGCGCTGCTGCCTGCTGAGCTGGGCCCTCAGTCAGCAGCCACCACTCTCCAGCCCCCAGCTCTGAAGGCAGCAGGGCAAAAGTAAGAGTTGCATGGTATGGTATTGCCACACTTACTTCTGCGCTGCTGCTGGTGAGGTGCTGCCTTCAGAGCTGGGTGCCCGGCCACCAGCCACCGCTCTCCAGCCACCCATCTCTGAAGGCAACACAGAAATAAGGGTGGCAATACTGCAGCCTCACTAAAAACATTGCGAGCTCCCTGCAACTCCCTTTTGGGTCAGGACCCCCAATTTGAGAAATACTGGTCTCCCATGAAATCACTATAAGATAGGGTAAAAGCACTCAAAAGACCAGATTTCATGGTGGGAGACCAGATTTCATAATCCATGATGCATTTTTCATAGCTGTGAATTTGATAGGGCCCTACTAATATCCATTGATGGACCTATCCTCCATAAACTTATCTACTTCTTTTTTGAACCCCGTTATGCTTTCAGCTTTCATGACATCCCCTAGCAATGAAGGCTAAACTGTTGTGAGCCACAGGCAGAGAACAGGAGATCCCAAAGTGCCACCAATGTCTGAGTCCCCTGTAATGGCAAGGAATTAGGTAGGGTACACCCAGATGTTTCTAGCAGACAATCTATGCCCCATGTTGCAAAGGAGGGCAAAAACCCTCCAACATGCCTGCCAATCTAGCCTGGGGGAAAATTCCTTCCTGACCCCTAATCTGGTGATCAGTTTGACCCTGACCATGTGACCAAGACCCACTACCTCCGCATCTAAGAATAAGGATTCTCTCTACCACCTCAGCACTGGTCCACCCCATCTAGCGTCCCACTGCCAGCCACAAACAATCAGACAAACACCTGAATACGTCCAGCCGATGTGGGGGGGGGGGGGGGGAAGGGGGAGAAGTCAGTGATGGGTTGAATCTCTGAAGCATGAGATTGGATTATAGTCATTGTATTAATACAGAACTGCAAATGTCATGACCATGTGGAGAGCAATGCAAGCGCTCCTATTCTCTGCATAACCCTTGAAGGAAGGGGTTGAACAAGGATGCATAGATTCCAAGGCCAGAAGGGACCACTATGACTGCCAGTCTATAGTTGCATGGGTCATCCCATTTTATATATTGGACCTACTGTTTTCCATGGGACCCCTGTATAGAATGGACAGTGAACAAGACAGGGTTTTGTATGGAGTCAGATGGGATCTGGAGGAGGGGGAAAAAATGCCAAAAACTTGATCTCGTCTAGTCCTCAAGGCTAAGATAGTCTGAACGTTGTGTTAATTTACATAGTAGGTAAACCTCAGACAATTAATTCAAATTGCCAGGAGTCAAATGTAATATAGCCACAAAATCAGGAGTAGTTGGTGGTTTTTGCTAGCAGACCAGAAAAGGAAAAGGCCAAAACTCAAGAATTTAGGATGCCTGGGCAACCTTTATTTGGCCCCCTGGTGCATATGCATAATGATACACTATTACATGATCACACAATATTTTTTCTACAGGACCCCACCTCATTCAGTGCACAGGATGGACAGTGAATGAGGTCGGGGCTGCAAAAAGGAAAGATACTCTTGTGCCTCAGGCACTGTAGCAGAACCAAGAAGAGTTTGGTTATCTCTGGCTCTACCACTGATTCCCTATGTGACATGACACAAGGTATCAAACAAGTATTCTGAGGAGATGCTAATTATCAGTGCCCAGCTGGACACACCTAGGGCCAAGTTTTCAGAAGGGTCAACTCCTGCTGAAGTCATTGGGCGCTGTGGGTGCTCAGCACAATTTAAAAAGACTTCAGGTGTTAGGTTTGACACCTGCTTATTGAGGCATTTAAAATTAGTGGACATTTTTGAAAAGATTGTCTGTAATCTCCCTGTGCCTCATTTGACATTAATAAAATGGGAGTGCTGTGAAGATAAGTCCATTCATGTTTGAGAGGTGCTCAGACACTGTGATGAGGGGCACCAGAGACAATTAATCATTCTGTATTCAGGACAAAGTTTGAATCTTGTGCAGTAAATAAGACCTGGACCAATCAGTGAATTTTGGGGAGAAAAAGAAGCAGAAGGAGGAGTGCCTCATTCTTTGAGCACCATCCATCTTGAGGAAGGGTTCTTGTGGAACAAAAATGTGTCTCAGTCTCACACTAATGAATATTTTCAGCCCCTCAGCAAGGATTTATTTATGCCCCTGTGGTGCACCCATCACTGTGGTATCCAAGTACTTGTTTTACTAGGGCCTTATCCCAAGGAAAGATGACACAAATTCAGAAGAAAATGAAAAGAAAATTCTTCTCTACCATAGCTCCAACTAATAATGAATAAAAAGGGAATTACCTTGATCTCATCTTCCTGTCTTCCATGACTTCATCTAAAAATTAATTAATGCCCCGTGTTTGCTTTCACAGCCTGCTCCATTTCTTCCTGAGTTGTTCTTTTCTCAGTTTAGCAAGTGACTTGCTGCTGTATGATTGATGCTGCTGCATAGACAAGCTATTGCAGCCTCTGTGTCTATCACCACATCTGATCTCTCCTTCCGACAAGCTGCAGAGCTTTGATTTCCACATAGTCACGCCATTCTGATCAGACAGGCATACTAGTATTGGGAGAAGAGCTTTATCATAGACCCTCAGCAACCCTTCATGGGAACAGATCAGCTCCACAGCAATTCACAGATGGTGCATGCTGTCAGGAGAAGGTGAGTATTTAACAACATTCATTACTTCCCTAAAGAGGTAATAGCTTTCAGTAACACCTGGGATTCCTCTAACTCCTAGGATGAAACATTATTGGTCCATGGACTCAGCAGCTTGTGATTCCAAAAGCTGCTTTCTGTTTTAACAATGACTTTCTCTTACATATTCTCCTGACCCCCAAAGAGAACCCTAAAAGTTTATATTCTCCCTCTCTTCCCCATCTGTGCTTGGGTCCTATCCTACGCGCATCAGGGCTTCAAATGGAAAAATATGCTGGCATGCTCTCCAACCCTTACTGCAGGGATAGGAAGCCTGGACATCCTAGTGTATCCCCTCCTTCGATGACAATCTTTCCTCCACTTTCCATCTCTCCAGGGACTAATGCTAGATACTCAATCCATGGTCAGTACATAAACAAAAGTTTTTATTCCCAACTCTGGAATTCAGCAACTACCTTTAGGTATTTACATTTGAAAATATTTCCTATAGTTTTAAGTTTAAAAGTGGCCAAATAAATTGTGTGTGATTTCTGACTCCCTTCGAGTCTTGTGAATTTGAGATGGAGCTGTGGACCAGAACATTTTCAGCCTTACATTCCCCAGATCTGGATAACATTTGCTTTTACTTCCTGGTAAAACGTGAATATCCTGGTGTCAAAAGATACTTCCTTCTCTTATGGCAGAATGTGTCTCGTTAGATTTCTAGCCCACACAAGTGGCTGGTGGTGTTAATGGGGGAGAGAAAGTGGAACAGAGAATCAAGACACACAATCTCAGTAAAAGCTGCAAGGGAGAAATACCATTTTTTAATACCAAACTCCAGGATAAAAGAAAGAAAAGACATTACAAGGGCTGTGGAAAAAAGGTCTTTCAGGTAAAACAAAATACAGGGCTTATTATGAAGAATTCTTTTTCCCAGGAAAAATGTTAGGGGATGTGACGATGAGAACAGGAAAGGGCTGTACAAGTGAAATCAAAAGCCTTTTGAAAAGATAGTGGTGACAAATCGGCAAACTGTGGAATACTAACTGTGGATGTGAGAGTGTTTTCCTCCCTTTTTTTATACTGCTAGGCACTCACTTGCCATCAGTTATGCTGTCCTACCAGTCATAGTACTACTCTGTTGTGCTGTGGCTGCTCTGAAGTGCCAACATAAGATATTAAACTATAGGACAAACAAATATCAGCTTTTAAATGCTGCATGCTTTCTGACTCATGCAGACACGTTATATATGCATAATGTTTTAATTAGTAGCTTGCAAGATGTCCTAAAATATATTTCCTTAACCAGACTGCTTGCAAAAACCTGGGCTTTCCAAGCTGTGTCTTAGAAAATAAGCATGTACCACTTATTTTCAGAGCAGTACAGCTGTTGAAGAGCGAGGTCATAGTGACAAAGAGAAAGTAGCTAGAAATTGTTTGCCACTCATTTCACTGTTAGGTGAGAACCTCCATACAACGAATGCCAGTGACAACAAATAGAAAGGCTGATTACCATATTGCAGCCAAGGGCT